CAACATAAGCAAACAGTTGGGAAAGAGGAAAGGGGAGGAAAGCGGCAAGAGAGCAGTTGAAAGCGGGTGCAAGTGGTTGGAAGAGCAGAGCAGAGAAGAGAGAAAGAGGGAAGGACAAAGACAAAGAGGAAAAACAAGTCAAGCGCCTTAAAATATGCAGCACTCGCATAGGGCGTCCTTAATTGCCACACCTTCGTCTATTTGCCAGCCTCCTGGCAATTTCTTGCTTCACTTACATTCCAGCCATTCCTCCTGCCACTTTCCTTGCCACTTTCCTTGCCAGTTTCTCTGCCTCCGCCCCGTTCTGTCTGCTGGTGTGTGCCACGCCCAGTCGTTCATGCCCAACGGGCTAATAATCAGTTTGAGTTTCATGCCTCATGCCTCGTAATTGCTGGTGAAGCCTCCTGGACCCAATTTCAAATGAAAACTAAACAAATTCCATGCTCGCCTGCACTTCAATCAATCAAAAGCGAACTTGAATCAATGACAGGTAACGCAGATTCTGCCTAAGCAGCTTAGCAAAGGCCCGACTGCTCCAGTCCCTGCTTCTACTCCAGTTCCTGCCCCTGCTCCTGTCCCTGCCCCTGTCCCTGCCTCTCTCGCACAATTTTGTGGCATTAATTTCGAGTAATTGCAACTTAATGAAAAGCATTCAATTGTGCAAATTAATGCGAATGTGGACAGGATTCTGATTTCAGCCACAAAACACAGCGCACAGGAATCCCACCCCCCATTCAGCGCCAGTTGGCAGCCAAAGCTACCCCCCATCTAGCTTGTATATTGTATGCCCCATTCGGATGGGTTGCTCCGGTATTTTAGTGCCTGTTAATTAAGGCTTTTGATGAGCCAAACTAATGGAGCAGCCACAGCACCCAGAGAGCCCCTTGCAGCCCTCGCAACTTGAGGCACTTCAAAGGCCAGAGCCTTCAGATTCAAATTCGAACTCGAATTCAGGCTCGAATTCAAATTCAAATGCTTTCATCTGCAGCAATGTAATTAGAAATTAATACATATGTATGCCACCGATAGTGGATATTAATATAAATATTTCAGATATTACAAAAAATATATTTAATATTTGGATTTGTTAATGTGTGTTTGTGTGTGTGTGTGTGATTTGGTATGCATAAAATACATAAACCGTTTACAACTAGAACCAGTTGGACTGCGGAGAGGGTTTCCTACGTCGAGCAAATGAGGGTCTGAAGACACGACGACAGCCTCTGTTGATTGCAGTTGTAGAGAATGAATGAACAGGCAGTGATGGTACTGTTTGTGATACTGATTTATTCAACAAACTTAAATTCTATTTATAGGTAACAAAAGGTACAGAAAGTGCTGAGTCTAGTAAGAATATGGTAAAAGGGAATTGGAATTAATATTGAATTAATTTGGATTTAATATGATATTGTGTTATTGGGCAATTGTGATAGTCATCAATTACACCAGTGTTATTGCCCTCTGAAGAGCGATCGCATCGTTGGCAGAAATTGCTGCAAAAACGGTTATTGTTGATTCAGCTACAATGCACTATGGGAAATTTGACCACTTTTTGTGGCAATAATTAATAACTTCCAAACGAAACAATATTTTTATACCCGTACTCAAAAAAGAGTTAAGGGGTATATTAGATTTGTGGTAAAAGTGGATGTGTGTAACGCAGAGAAGGAAAATTTTCCGACCCCATAAAGTATATATATTCTTGATCAGCATCAATAGCCGAGTCGATATAGCCATGTCTGTCTGTCCGTCCGTCCGTCCGTCCGTCCGTCCGTCCGTCCGTCTTGTTGAGCGCCTGGATCTCAGAGACTATAAGAGTAAGGGTAACCAAATTTGGTTTCCAGACTCATGTGATATCACACTGCTATAAGTGTATTTCAAAATTTCGCCCCGCCTCCTTCCGCCCCCACAAAGGACGAAAATCTGTGGCAGGCACAATTTTAAAGATACGATAAAACTATAAACGCAGTATCGTAGAGAATGCCCATATCTACCAGATTGCCAAATCTGAATCAGATCGGATCATAATTATAGCCAGAATGAAGAAATTAATTTTCTGTTGCTTTCCCTTCCCCCCCCTCCAGCCAACGACAACTCAACTCATTTTCCATCTCGCTCGCACACTCTGCCGCGTTGAGTGCGCGAGCAACCCCTAGCGGAGGAGATGTAGAATCTAATTGGAACATGTACAATCTACATGTTAGATGTAGAATATACATTGTATATGTAGATGTAGATAGCATATGTAGCAAAAAAATGTAAAATGTAAAATTTTTTTTTTTCTAAAATTCTTAAAAATTATAAGCTCAAAAATGTATATACTGACTGAGTACGGGTATAAGTAGAGTCGCGTCCCCAGAAGCGACTCACACGTTCCTTCTCGTTTTATAAAGAAATAGCATTTTTTTTTTGCTTAAAAGACAAAAAAACAATCATGTTGAGAATAGGGCGTGCCACGCCTTTAAAAAAATTTAAAACGAGAAGGAACGTGTGGGTCGCTTCTGGGACGCGACTCACTTATATCGTACTCAGTCAGTATATGTATACATTTTTGAGCATATGATTTTTTAGAATTTTAGAATTACAAAAAAAAATTTTACATTTTACATTTTTTAGCTACATCTGTTATCTACATATATTACGTAGATTAAACATGTACCATTTAGATTCTACATCTCCTCCCGCTAGGGGTGTGTGTGCGAGAAGGAAAATGAGTTTCATGGTCGTTGTCAGGAGGGGGCAGGGAAAACAACTGAAAATTAATTTCTTCATTCTGGCTATAATTATGATCCGATCTGATTCAGATTTGGCAGTCTGATAGTTCTCTACGATACTTTTTTAGTTTTTTTAGTTTTATCGTATCTTTAAAAATGTGCCTGCCACAGATTTCCGTCCTTTGTGTGGGCGGAAGGGGGCGAAATACACTTGTAGCAGTGTGATATCACATGAGTGTGGAAACCAAATTTGGTTGCCCTAGCTCTTATAGTCTCTGAGATCTAGGCGCTCAACAAGACGGACAGACATGGCTATATCGACTCGACTATTGATGCTGATCATATATATACTTTATGGAGTCGGAAACGTTTCCTTCTCTGCGTTACACACATCCACTTTTACCACAAATCTAATATACCCCTTAACTCTTGTTTGAGTACGGGTATAAAAAGTAGAAATTATTATTTCTGGTAGCTTTTTCACTAACATTTTTATCAGGAGACCTGAAATATAAAAGAAATACAGTTTTATTGTAAATAATAGGTTTCCTATCACACCTTTTGTTAATTCTCATGGAGTTCGTTTTCGAGCTCCATCATCCACGAGAATTCGAATTGATCTTCAGCCAGCTCATCGAAACTACTCTGCTCTGGTGGATCTCTGCCTGAACGATTGATCTCGCTTGATAAAAGACCGAACACCTCAGTTGGAAGGGGCTATATTTTTCATTTGTATGCTGCTTTCAAAGTTAACAGATGAGATAATAGTATCTGAAGTATGGAACACGTCCGTGAAATTTTCTTTTCGGGCTCATTTTAAATATACAATTTTATAAATTCTATTTCGACACTTGGCACCCTCTTCTGCAAAATATCCCACAGGAAGAATCTTTTTTTCTTTTATATCGCTTGAATGCACTAGGATTTTGTGAACTGTCGCAGTGATTGACAACCAACGATATCGGTCAATATCACTTCTCGACAAAATCGAACTTTTTTTGGTATTTTTTGTAATGCTTTTTTCAGAGGTAAGTCTTTTATTTGGCACATTACTTAAGTATCTTACATTTGGTTGCAATGACGTTTGACATTCTGAAAAGCTGATAAATGTATCTATAAAGCAGACCTGAGCACCTTGTAGCTTCAGCTTACCGTCTGGGAAATATTAAGCTTTCAAATGCAAAATTGATCGGTTTTGCTCAGTACCCTTTTCAAAATTTTGACTTTAAAAACTCAAGAAAAGTCGAAAACAAATAGTACCCTTTGTCTATTTGTTGTAAGTAGATGCATCAATTAGGCATCGATCAAAGTATTGTTCATAAAAATCGATGGAGAAATGACTCAGCTAAAATTGGTTGACCAACCCTCCAAAAATCACATTTTACCGTTTTAAACGTTAATGCAGTCTAAATGTTTTTGTCTAAGAATCAAGATTGCGCTTCTATGCGCAAACACGCACAGATAACCATGATATACAAGAACAAGAATTTAATTTTCTACAAGATGCATAACGTCATATGGCTCTACGAGTGGTCACTTTCTTTGTACGCCTCTTCAAAGACACATTTTTGTCACAAATTTATACTTGTTAAAAATAAGTCATTAAACATAATAATGATTGAAATTTTTACAGTTCAAACTCATAAACATATATAACATACCTGTCTGAATCGAACCCATTGTAAAGAAAGCACTTAAATTGATGAATTTATAACTTTTTTAAAGATCAATATTATTCGGATATATGAGGTCTACAAATATATTATTTTAACTAGTTTTGAACAATGGGTTTTGGCCAGAAAAAGTGGTAAAATTTCCCATAGTGCAATGCTTTGTCGTTTGTTATTATGTCTCCCGTTACATGGGTTGACCTGACTTATTCGATAAGTGTATATTATGTAATATTAATTAATGCATAAATATGCGACTGAACAGGATTAAATATATTTAATATTTATAATTTATTATTATTATTATTATAATTATTATTATATTAAATATATTTCATATTTAAATTACATATATTTCGTATTTAAATTAAATATATTTCGTATTTGGATTAAATATATCTCCTATAAATTTAATATAATTAAATTATATCACTTTTATTTATTTTTAAGGTATTTTTAATTTTTTTTAAATTCTATTCTATTTAAAATTGAATTTTAATCAAAGTGAATTGTATTTAACTACTAAATATTTTAGGATTTAGAAACCAATTATTTCATTTCTATGTATTAATTAGCATGATCTGATCTCTCTGCTTCTGTTCTGTTTATTCGATAGATAAACTACCGGATATCGCCAGAGCGGCAAAAGGGTCTAAAAATCGCGGCCACCAAATGCAAGATGGTTCCGGACCAACCAGTAAAAATGCAGTCTGGGCCGCCGTTACCTTTGCAAAAAAATACTATAGCCGGACAGACTGCGGACAGTTTTGCCAGTGTTCCGTCCACTCACTCGTACGGCGGCATCCCGACTTCGTCCGGCACCAGTTACGTTTCTATTGGAATCTTACCAGGATTGGGCAGCATACCAACCGCCACGAGCGGGGCGCTGCCATTGTTGCTGCCTACAACGACTCCTTCAACCACAACCTTCAAGACGACCCCCTTGCTGCCGATGCCGTCGTTGGAAGATATCGAGGTGGCCAACCAAATCCAGACTCAGATTCAGACTCAGACGCAGAGCCAGGGCCAATCACTAGTACAGCAGCAGCAACAGCAGCAACAGCAACAGCAGCAACAGCATCATCAACAGCAACAGCAGCATCATCAGCAGCAGCAACAGCATCCACATCAGCAGGAGCAGCAGCCGCCCCCGGGAATCCTTAAATACCCAAATCCCCTTCCACCACCCAGCGTCAACTATATCGGAGAGCTAATGCCACTCCCACTCCCACTCCCACCCACCAGCACCCCCACCCCCACCACCACATCGATGAGCAGCGGCAACTGTGGCACGCTCAAGAGTACCGCCAAGCTGCTACCCCTCCAATTGATTGCCACCGCCGGACCACCGCCAAACCATCCACCATCGATGTCGCTGCCCCCGGCCTCAGCAGCAGCCTCGATTCAGGCGCAGGCTCAGGCCCAAGCCCAGGCGCAACAACAGCAACGCCAGCGTAGGCGACACGGGTGGTGCGGCTGCTTTGGATCGGGCCACAACACCAGACCAGTCGAGAAGACAACACCGCCGCCGCCGGGCTATGCCACCAAATCGAAGAAACGCAAACCGAAAACGCAGACAGTCTGGTCGGCGCTGCTCACCAATCTGGGCATATGCATGCTCCTGCTGGCCTACACGTTGTTGGGTAAGTGGCAGTCGATGCAGGGAGGAGACTTTTGGGTTTCGTTCAAAGTTTGATCCAAAGTTCATCTCCCTTAAGTAAACTATTTATGGGAAGATTTCTTTACTGGTGGTTTGGCTTGAGAGCCGTGTGTATTGTATCGTGAGAGCGAGCGCTATACCGCTCTCAGAGCGCTGTCGTTAAGCGCTACGCTGCGCTGTAAACAGAGCTGCTGCATTATTATTGAGCACAATAGTCCCTGTGCTTTAAATGAAATATATGTATGTATGTATGTATTATAAAAATGCTTGAGCAAGTAATTTTGCGAGTTTCTCGTGGGAGTGCTTGGCATGCAGCGATCGTTAAGGTCTAATTCTCTCCTCTCTTTGTTCGACGGCCTCTCTCTCTGTTATTTGTTCTGCTATTGGCTCTTCTAACTCTACAGACTCTGTTGCTCTCTGTGGGCTCGCAACCAATCCCACATATGTATGTACGTACGTATGTGCAATATACAATAAAATATATACAAAGCAAACAGTCTGAATTCGTTGCACAAGCTGATTGATATTTTCTTGGCTTGCGTGCATGCGCATTTCACATGGATGGACGGAGTATAAGTACGAGCGATGCGACCCATAACAAGCATATATCATTCGTATTGGGGGTTCTCTGTTGTCTGTTGTCTGTTGTCTGTTCTCTGCTGCCTGCCATTTCGTTGTTTTCCTAATTAACGCAGCTTCTTCTGTCTCTTGTGTCTTCTCTCTTTTTGCACGGCCGAGTGTGTGTATGTATCGGATACGGGATACAGGATACAGCTAGCAGCTACTTTTACAGTTGGCAGATACAGACACAGGACACAGCTAGCAGCCTCTGCCGCTGGTGGATGCTTAATGTATCTTGTCACAGAGTTCGACATTTAAATTAACCAAAAAACAGCAGGAAGATGTGGGGCTGGAACGCCAACACCGCCGCCACCACCACCGCCACCGCCACCGCCGCACGACAACGTGATAAATTTAATTAATCATTTTGTTACCCCCGGCTGATGCGGATGCTGATGTGAATGCGGATGTGTGGATATGTGTGTGGGATGCCAGCAAACAAATATCAAAATGGCGGCCGCAGAGCCAAAAACCTATGTCTACCACCACGAGTGTGGCAAGTGTGTGTGTGGCAAGTGTGTGTTTGTTTCGCAGCATAGCATACTTTTGAGCGCTCATGTCATGTTTATTAGAAAACCAAAAGGCGACATCAGCCGCCAACAGACGCTTGACGCGCCGCTCCATCTGCATCTTCCTTCTGGGGTCTTTGACTTTACTTCTGGCTGCTCTCCCACTGCTCCCCCCTTTCAAGTTATCCTCCAGCGTCTCCGGCTGCTCCTTCGGCCGCGGCCGATCAAATCAAAATTTGTGTTGTTTTTATGCGTGCCACGCCTTTATAATTTTAATAAAATTATTTAAATAATTTTTAATAAAACGTTATAATTACTTCCTATCCCTATCATTAACTATTTTTTACATATCAAAGGCGTGCCACACCCATTTTTTGTAACTTCTATGATTATATATATACGATCAAGAACTAATTTACTTGTTTCGTTTTCGAGTTATTATTTGCCAACAAAAGTGGTCATTGGGACCATAGGGGCCGTTGCTCTCTCTTGCTTGCGCTTTGGCAATTCCTTTCCTCTCTCTCTCTCTCTCTCTCTCTCTCCGTTCTCTCGTTCTTTAATGCTGCCTGACGGTGACGGCTGCTTTGACAAGAGCTGGAAATAGCGGCATAAGAAAAAAGGCAACATATGCCGTGTCCTGGTGTGTGTGTGTGTGTGGCAAATACTTTAAACAAATCGAAAAATGTTCACTTGTGTGTGTGTGCGTGTGTGCGTGTGTGTGTTCGTGCGACAGCTGGGCGGAAAAAGTTGTCCCTTGTTCAGAGGAAATCATCAAAAATGACACAAACAATTATTCAACTTTCGGCTAGGCCGTGCGTGAGAGATGCGTCCGCCGGTGACGTCATATGACAGCTGCTCCATGTCCCCCTCCCCCACCACTGCTACCCTACCTCTACTACATCTGCGGCACACAACAGACACTTGATTCGACTTTGGATATGGACTTTAACCCATCAACCCATCAAAGCTAGCGCTTTTAATGCTTCAGGAAAAGTTGCGCAGTTGTCGGAGAGCATCAAAGGAGCATCAAGTCACCAAGTCACTTGGGGACATAGTTTTGAGGTTCGACAAAGCGCTACCCTCTGAACTGAAAGAGAGAACAAATTAGAAACGAAATGAACCCAAGACAGAAAGGTGTGAAGATCAAACATGGCCAGAGAACAGTGACCGGGGCATGTGAGCAGGAAACATGCTAAGCGGCATAGGAATGCAAGGTAGAGGGGGTGGAACAGAGACAAAAGAGACAACCGATCGATAATTGACAAAGTGGTAAAAGGGGTAAGAGGTAAGAGGACTTAACCTTCAGACGAATATTCAATGCATTTTCGATGAGTATTAAAGTCTAAAGCAAACGTGGAATATGAGGAGCAGTATAGCTGAGCAGTAAATCAGATCCCTAGACTCCAGCATAATTGACCGAAAATATTAATTAAAAATTCGATTTATATTTTCTCATCTTAATTTGGTTTATTGCCAAAGAAAATCTCCAACTGGAGTGTCCCAGCTTAGGCCAGCTGAACGCAGGGTAGCAGTTGACACAGAGCCTGTGTCCATTCCAACTCGATGCTCTCCGCTCGAAGCATCCTTTCCGTTTCTGTTATTTTTAACTTTGACATGTGTTAGAGCCTCCCCCAACCCCAGCCCCACCCCTCCAAAAGACATCGACATCGTCAGGAGTCATCATGCCGCATACATCGGCGACATCATTTGCAGGGGCGCTAACTTTTCTCAAAATGTGTGCGACAGGGAGAGAGAGCGAGGAAAACTTTTCTACAACAAACAAACAAACAACAACAACAAAAATAGAAGAATAGAATAGAAGAGACTTGGCAAAATGTGTGCCCCATGTGAGTCAGTGTGAATGAGTGTGTGAATGTGTGTATTAGTTGCCGATGCATTAACATTAAATGAGTGACAGGAATCAACAGGACGAGGCGACACACAGGAATATCGATTCGGGGCTGCTACGAGCCACCCATGTCAGCCAGGACAAAACCTGGACCTCTGACCTCCCATCAAGCAGACATAACAACCCGAAACATAGGGAGGAGTCCCTGAGGAGTGCTGGAACTTGAACCAATAAAACGTTTAATGCAATCGAATCACTTTAATCACTTAATACTCGTGGAATTAGCCTGTCATTCTTGGCTTGTCTTGCGTACCTCTATTCCACCATTTTACTCCTCTTTTTTCTTTACTTATATTCCACCATTTTACTCCACTATTCCACCATTTTACTCCTCTATTTTCTTTACTTATATTCCACCATTTTACTCCACTATTCCACCATTTTACTCCTCTATTTTCTTTACTTATATTCCACCATTTTACTCCACTATTCCACCATTTTACTCCTCTACATTTTACTCTTCTACTCCTGTGCTATTACAGCTGTTATGGCAGCTCTAAGATAAAGTGAAATCCGATCTTGGGCTGGCAGGGTTCCCATTCATAAAAATGTAATTCAAACTCTGCCCTTTGCATGCCATCTCCCTCTGAAGAGGAGACAAGGCAGGGGACAGGGACGGGGACAGCAGCAACAGCAGGGAATAAAGCACACAAATGTATTTTTGATACTTATATTTTCGAATATTTATTTGGTGTTTGTATTTGCTGAGATAAAACCCAAGCTGGAGTTCAGGTTTGTGCCCAATCTGTAACCGAAGAACACCTCAGAGCGGCTTTCCAGGCCATTTATAGGGTATCCATAGCAGAAATTAATGAGCTGCCATTGCTCACATTTTGTGTGGCTTTAAAGCCAAATCAGGTTGCGGGGGACAGACTATGATGCTGCATGTGTGACAAAGATGATGATGATGCTAATGTTTTTGGCTTGCTTTCGTTGCAGGCTCCTTCATATTTCTAACCATCGAGAACGAGGACTCGGCACTGCTGCATCAGCAGCACACATTGGCCAGCACCAAGCGTAATCTGGCGGGTATTGGGATTGGTAGTGCCATAGGGAATGGCATTTATCAGCAGCAGCAGCAGCAGCAGCAGCAGTCGCCACACCAGTCGCAAAGGTCGCCGCAAATGCACCAGCAGCAGCAGCAGCAGAAACAGAAGCAGAAACAGCAGCAGCAGCAACAGCAGCAGGCAGGACAACGACATCATCATCGGGCAGGACAACACACTGTGGACAATGACACGGTGGCCGCAGCAGTGGCCGCCGCCCAGGGAATGCTGGGCACAGGCAATGCTGGCGGCACTGGCACCTCCTCCTATGGAATGGCCAACCCACAGGGCGCATCATCGAATGAGTTTGTTTATGGCGGCGTGGATGTGGCAGACGAGGCAGAAATTCAGGAGATTGCTGCTGCTGCTGAAATGCCGCAGTTTGGACTGGGACTCGGACTGGGAATATCGCCGGATACTTATGATGTGAGGCAGCGGACCATTGAGAATATCTGGGACATAACCGTATCGCTCAACATACTCTACAAGGAGAATTGGACAAAGTAAGTAGCAGTCGAGAGTATCCTTCTCTCTCGCTCTCTCTCATGCCATCTCTGTCGCGCTCTCTCTCTTATTACTCACAGATTGGCAGCACTGGAAATAGCCAAGTTTCAGGACCAATTAATCAAGAGACTGAACGAGGATGTTATGCTGCAATTATCACACGAGGATGTGGCCAACGCAGGCGGCGGCGGTGCCTCCGGCAGTGGCAGTGGCAGCGGCAACAATCCAGCCACGGAAGCCGTTCTACTTCACACCCACTTTTATCATCATCGTGCCGCAGGCGGAGGCGTGGTGCCCGGCGGCACTGGAGGCCCTCCGCATGAGTGGAATTTTGCCAAAGCGTTTTTGTATTCGCTGACCGTTTTGACCACAATTGGTAAGTGCCACATCGCCACCATGGCCACACACACACACACACAGACAGACATAGAGAAGGAAAGGAAATGCCCCATCCTGAGAAAAAGAGATAGAAACAATGGGAGGCAGTGGCTCTCTGGCTCGCTGGCTCGCTGGATCGCTGGCTCTGGGCCATAAATTTGATGTTCCATCCCAACGGAAATTTGTTTTACTTGAATGGCGAATGGCAAATGGCGAATGGCGAATGTGTGGCGCTGCCTGCCTGCCTGCCCCAAATGTGTGGTGTGGCAGATACTCTCCTGTGCTGCAGGCTACGTAACTACAGAGCCAAAGCCCACATATAGCAGGCCCAAAAGAGTGCAGTGGAGAGGGGCGGGACAGACAGGGGACAGTGGATAGGGGACATGGGACATGGGATAGGGGTTATGGCCATAGCTAGGGGGCCTGACCCACGTACACCTTTTGACACCATCGCATGAGTGCATTTGCGGGATGCAGTTCACTTTGTGTGGATGAAGGGAATACCTAAAGAGTAAGAGAGAGAGAGAGGAATGGATGCTTCAGGATGCTGCAGAGGATACTCGCTGGCTGGCTGGCTGGCTGGCTGGCTGGCTGGCTGGCTGATGATGGTAGCTCCTGGTCATCCCATGATGTGCTCTATCCCGGTTTGGGGGGGGGGTGTGCAGTAATTCAGGCCCAAAGAACTCCACTTGTTAATGGATTGATGGTGCGGCCTCAAGCATTATCGTTATCGGTAGCTGCACGACGATTATTTATCGATTGGGCAGCACAACCAACCGCATGCTTAGCCCATTCTGAAATGCCTGGCTCTTTGTTCGCATCTTTTTTTTATTTATCCATAAAACATAAGCCTTACAAAACTAGCGACATGCGGCAGCACCCATCGGTCTGGCCTGTTTTGCACCCTCAACGCTCTTCTGCATTTCTTTTTTGTTTGTTTGCCTTTCTGCCACAATTTGTGGCGTCCAGGGGGATGCAATCGATACCTACTCAATGCTCCTTGCATAACGAGCTCCCAAACGAGCTGCCTACCCTTTGCCTTTGCCTCCCTCCCTCGCTGGCCCCAGCAAAAAACTAATTCGATAAGACTTCCATCGAGAGATGATTTTTATCAATTTTTTTTTTTTTCAATTGTCATTTTGTCAGGGGCAACAAACGCCCAACCACAGCCCAGCCCACCCGGTATCAATTCCCCAAATTTGGAGGCGTTTTGCTTGATTCTGATTTTAAATATTGGGCTGGCAGGGCGCTTGGTAAACTTTTTAGCTTCTTCCTGCTCGCATCTCCCACCCATGGTAACCAGTTGTCATTTTCCCAGGGAATATTCTGCCTACTGAATTTCCGAATGCTGCCGTGTGCGTTTTTCTCCCTCTCTCTCTGTCTCGTTCTCTCTTTTTCTCACATATACGGCATGTATGAACGGTAACTCTGTAGGCCCGAAATAAAAAATAAACAAAAAACAAAAAACAAAAAAGAGAAAGAGAATGGAGAAAGAAAACCCAAGCCGAAAGTCAAATATTGATAGAGAAAAACAACAAACGAAGCTATTTGCTTAGACCCCTCCACACCCCACAACCCACCCCACCAGCACACACACACACACTCACACACAAATAAGCACACACACACACACCCACACCCACGTATAGAGGGAGAGGGGGAGAGAGAGGAAGAAGAGATACAATACATCGACACGACTTTCCACTTGTGAAAATCATATAAAATAAAATTTGCAAAAATTTTCTGCTGATCTTGGCCAAAAAAGTTGATGGCTGCCCCGGCCACCCAGCCCTCAAAAAAAAAAAAAAGGCCAGAAAGCAAATATAGGACTAGGGTCCTCCAGGTTCTAGGACCTGCCAGGACCTTCACTTTTCATCCACCCACCAACAGCCAGCCACCCCCCCCCCCCCCATGTCCTTTGCCAGAGCACATCATTACCGCATGCCCATCCGGCCTACAGCCTCCAAGCCTCCTCATCTCTGCCTCCACATTTATGTACTTTTTCACTGCGTTTTCCACTTACTCTTTTTGCTTTGAGGGCATTTCGACTGCGACAAGCATTTGAGGAAGAAAGAGAAGAAGGTTTTTTTCTAGGAATTAAAATATATACATCCTATATGCGCATATATGTATATCTATTATATAGTAGCTTTAATCGGCGCAATATATATGTGTTAAAGGGTATCCCAAGGTTGGCTTCCGTATTGTTTTTGTTGTTGTTGTTCCTTTCCGTGAATGCATAAAAAAAAGCTTCAATGTAGGCAAATGTCGGAAATGGTCGAGTGGTAGAGGGGATGGGGATGGGTAGAGGGGCGTGGGGCGTGGGGCTGGTGCGTGGGTCCATAGGTCGTGGGTGTGCCATGGGCGGGCGGCAGTTTGCAATTGCGTTAGTCAGCAGACTGTTCGGGTGGACATTTGTATTAACATGACATCCTGCCTGCCCGCCTGGCTTTTGTCCTCGCCCTTTTCAACGTCCTTGTCCTCGTCCTTGCTTATGATTATTATTATTGTTTTTCTGTGGCTTGTGTATTTTTCCCAACCAACAACGGGCGGGGCGGGGGCTTCATTGTTCTCTCTGTCCAGGCACCGTCACCCAAACACAATATGATTATGATTATTGGTCCAGCTTCTGGCCAACGGACCACTAAGCCACTTCAGTGCAGTATCCAATACCCAATACCCTGTGCCCGCTGCACAGCCAGTGTCTGATCGATCACACAAAAAACTCGCAACGAACTAATCGATTTTATATGATTTTTTGGAGTATTTATTAATCAAATTAAACAGTTACAGAAAAACATTATCCTCATGATAATTGGAGAGCAGAGAGAGAGCCATCGAGTGTTTGCTCGGCTTTATATATATTTAGGCTGGGGCTCTAGTGGAAATTGCAAGTATCATCAGTGGCTTCCCATCCAATGAAATCTCTCTCTCTCTCTCTGATAAAGGGGAATATCTTTTATTTGCATATATAAAAGCGTATTTTATGCATTATGTTTGCCAGCCTGAAATTGGCACTGCCACCTGCGAATTTCCAGGGCAAAGTTAACCACTCAACCAACATTGCTCCAGGGTATCAGTGGGTGCTCCACACATCCTGTACGACGGACATGTGTATGCGCTCTAAGCTCAAAATATTTTCCAGAGCCGTGGAGTTGCTATGATTGTCTTGGGCATAAATGCGAATTTATGGGCATCCTCTGACGCCGCTGCTGCTGCTGTTGCTGCAATAAATAGGGCCCCTCGGAATGGGTGGCCAATCCCCTGGACAGCAATAAGACAAGTAATTTAGCTGCAAAATAATTTTAAATTTCATTTTCACACACACACACAGTAAGACAGACAGACAAGGCATTTCCATTTCCATTTGCCACATTCCACTATCATCAATTGCGCATCTCCAAGGCGATTCGGTTTTATGCCACTTGGCCCATTGTGTGTGTGTATGAAGGGAAATAGCCGAGGCAGCATATCGATGCGTGTATACGTATACATAAATGGAGGAAATCTCCTGGCATGACCCCACCACTGTGAAGCAGATTAGGTCTAGTTGTTTATTATTGGAGTGGGGGTAAGGCGTGTATTTAAGCGGTGCTGGGATGTGGGTGGGGGTAATGGCATTTACTCCGCTGCACGCATATTCGATAAATAATTCACTTGCCTATCGGCTTAACTTCATGGTTATTGTCCGCACAGCTCCACGCATTCAGCTCGCATTCGTGTTCGATTTATATACGTTTAGCTGTTAGTCGATCGATGGGTTCCATGCCAGTGTACCTTCTCGGCCTTCACTTTCGGCTCGTTGGGATCCTTGGGCGGGCCGGCTGGCGCGGCCGCAGCTGCCGGCGGCTTTCCATTGGCCGCCGGCGCCTTTCCATTGGCGGCTGGCGCTGCCGGTTTGGCAGCAGCCGCTGCCGCTGCTGGTTTGGCCGGAGCCGCAGCCGCTGCCGGTTTGGCCGCAGACGCAGCTGGTGCAGCGGCGGGAGCAGCTGCCTTTTTCTGCAAAAAAAGCAAAGAACAGAATTGTTAGTTTCGAATTGTCTGGAATGAAAGTTTACATTTGAGCGTGCGAAGATTGCAATATACAGAGCGAGAAAGAGCGAAGGTTGCATCATAAAGATTTTCAAAGATAATCAACCAAACACTCGTATGATGGGAACATACTTTGCTGATTATATTTCACTTTGGTATCAATACGTGGGTGTTATCAGTACCAGCTCACTGTATTCACAGTCTCTCTCGCACATATTGCAATTATTTCTCACGCATAAACGAAAGTTTTTTGCACAGCTACAAGCAGGGACATGGACAGAGACAGAGACAAAGACAAAGACAGAGACAGCGACAGAGACTGGCCCAGAGACACACACTAACGATAACACTAGTCAACACGATTTTTCCTCAAGGAACAAAACGAACTTTTTCTTAAAGATTTGGGGCTTAGAAATGGTTTGATGATATTTTTTTTTTCTATGGCAGAACTTTTTTTTAAAGAATTTTTGAAAACTGGTATTTTTTTTTAAAGCTTTTTTTAGAGGTAGCGCTTGTTTTTTTCACATAACTCTAGTATCTTACGTCTGGTTGTAAAGAACTTTGCTATTTTGGAAAGATAATTAAAACAGCTAGAAGTTAAGCCCAAACACTTTGTGATTACAGCTTACCGTCTGGGAAATATAAAGCATTGAAATGCAAAAATGATGATTTTTGTGGGGTATTTTTTACGAAATTTTGACATTAAAAACTCAGGAAAAGTCGAAAAAAAATTATATCTTGTGTCCTCTATTTTTTTGTGTATAGGTGCGTTAATTTGGCGTCGTTTAAGGTATCGCTCATTAAAATCTATGGAGAGACTTTGGAGCTAAAATTCGTTAACCAAACCTAAAATATGGAAAAAATGAACAAAAAATACCTTTTTGAAGGCGGCGGGCCCAACTGCCAATTGGGAACAAAGGAACGCGATCAGGTACCAAATGTACAACCCTTGTTCGTTTGCTTTGTTCCGAATTGGCAGTTGGGCCCGCCGCCTTTTAACGCACCTATACACAAAAAAATAGAGGACACAAGATATAATTTTTTTTCGACTTTTCCTGAGTTTTTAATGTCAAAATTTCGTAAAAAATACCCCACAAAAATCATCATTTTTGCATTTCAATGCTTTATATTTCCCAGACGGTAAGCTGTAATCACAAAGTGTTTGGGCTTAACTTCTAGCTGTTTTAATTATCTTTCCAAAATAGCAAAGTTCTTTACAACCAGACGTAAGATACTAGAGTTATGTGAAAAAAACAAGCGCTACCTCTGAAAAAAGCTAAAAAAAAAAATACCAGACTTCAAAAATTCTTCAAAAAAAAGTTCTGCCATAGAAAAAAAACCATAATTCTTTAAAAAATTTTAAAGCCCCATATCTATCAGAAAAAGTCGGTTTGGATCCTTGAGGAAAAAAAAGTTCCATTTTGTCGAGTAGTGTAACATAACATTGTTTCGATCGATCTTGATTCGACAGTTATCAGTTGTCAGTGCTGACTGCTGCTGCTCCTCGATCAGAGGGTTACTTGATGTGCGGGCGGGGTGGGGCTTAAGGCAGGAGAAAGCTCATCGATCCTGTGGGTAAGCAAGAGAAAGCATTTTGTGGTCTGTGGTTAGGGCGAGGCACTTGGCTAAGATTAGATAGCGTCAATAGCGGGGGCTGGGGTGCAGAGGCTATGCTTACCACAGTTATCCTCCGGTCCCGGCGGGTTCAGTCCCGTCCAATCCTCAGCCCGAGTCCCCATCCAGGGGCAACGCTTTAGCAGCGCCAATTGTGTTTGTTCACATCAAAAGTTTACTGCAGAAGAAGGCCAATGATTAGTCACGGGTCACTGGGTCACTGGACAGCCACCACGATACTCACCTCACCTCATCATCAGCCATTTTGATTTGTGTTTTTAGTTACTGCAAAATACAGAAAGAGAACAGAACGAGACGTGAGCTCAAGGAACTGGAACTGGAAATGCGAATGGAAATCGAAATGGAAATGGTCTCTGACATCATTTCGATTGTCCTATATATACACCGCTATAGATTTAAACAGAGAGATATATATATATATTCGTATATGTATATGCATGTCTGGCATCTGTTCCATAAATTCGTTCGCTCGTTCGTTCGCCCACACAAACGCACACCCTCGCACGATCCTATCGGGGCCGGCAACAGTGCGTATGCGCAATTCACATATACAGCTGCGCGCCGTATTACGTATACGCAGCATTGGCCCATGCCGTATATGGGGAGGCCACTACACTTGCGCGCTCTCTCTCGCTCTCCCCCCATTTGCTGTCTCCCTGTCTGTGGTATTTACTTTGGCGTGGGCGCCTGCCAGAAAGAGATGAACATTCCTGCCTCTCTCCGATATCCGATTTCACTCGAGAAGCGGTGCAGAGGCACTTCGCAGAAGAGAGAAACAGCGAAAACTCCCCCAAGGTTCACCCACTGACGGTATGCTTTATGTAGTCAGCCCACTCAGCTGATCTTGTTATGTGAGCATATTAATCCATTTATGTGTACAAATTTGTACGAAAGAATTATTGGGACAACTCTTGGGATGCTCCTGTGAGATGAATCGGTGGCAAAATCACAAAGTTAAGGCTGAAGATCATGAATGATGCGTAGATATCCACTTTTGAACTGCATATTAACCAGTTTTTGCATGATCACTTCGATTTGAAGATGAGCTATGAAAGAGATTAATTTGAGGAAGTTTTCCAGGTAAATCTAATGAAAGATTTCTTCGAAGGGGGATGTTTGTTTGGAAGATCGCCTTGTACAGCTGTTTGAAAATTACTTGTGTGAAGGGATGGCTTTTGAGTAGTATAGTAGTGTTTATTGGATATAATAAGTTGAACAATATATGTAGAATGAATTAATTGAAAATAAGGTTTTCTTGAACGTGTGTTATCTTGTTCGCTTCGACTTCTTAAGTAAGTATCGCCTCTGTTGTTATCGATGGCTAGGGGCCTATCGTGCGTATAACAGCCCCCCATAGAGTGGACCGCTTCTGTTGACTAACAGCTCTTCACAGTCGGCCTTTCCTGAAAAATCGCAGCGTCCTCGCGAGATTCGTAGGGTGAGTCGCCTTCCATGTCGTCATCTTCATCTGGTTCATCGGGTGGGAGTTCGCACCAGCATTTCATTCTGTCAGAAGAATACACCGACTTATAGTGCCTTTGCTTTCGTTGGGCATGAGGGATATCTTCTACTAGATATCGGTCGTTTGGCAGAACCTTGCTGATAATAAATGGACCTTTGTAGCGAGGCTCCAATTTGCGTGATGTTCCTGTGCTAAACGGCTCATTCTCGACTAACACAAGATCACCAAGGGTATATACGGTTGGCTTGGAATGTCTAGCATCGTAACGTTTCTTCGCAGCAGCCCTATGGTCGTTGACTGTAGTCGCAGCATCTGCTCGTAGCTTTTCCAACTCGTCATCTGTCATCATCTTCAGATCCGGGCCTTGGATCGCATTTGTCACTGTGTTCTTGAGGATATCTCGTGGCTCATAACCATACAATAGCTGAAATGGGGAACATTTAGTCGTACTATTTACCATGATGTTGATGCTCCATTGAATTGAGCGTATCTGGTCGTCCCATCGTTTTTCATTTTCATTTGAAGGCAATAGCATTGACAAAATAATCCGGTTGGTTCGCTCTGCATGTCCGTTCGCTCTCGGTGTCTTTACAGCATTGAGTATGTGCTTTACATTATTCGACTTACAATACTTTTCAAAATCCTATGCCGTAAAAGCTGTACCGCGATCGGTAATGATTCGATCTGGCATTCCTAAGTATCTGGTTACCTCCTGCAGGATATCAATAACGTGTTTCGTGGCTGTTCTTTTTACAGCTTGCACTATGGTAAATTTAGTTAATGCGTCGACAATCACAAGAATGTGCTCATTCCGTTTTGAACTCTTTGGGAAGGGTCCCAGGTGATCCAGGTCATATTTGCGAAACAGGCGATCTTGCTCGATCACATACTCGTCGGTCTCAGGTTTCTTATCAATGTTCATCTCAGCGACAATCTTCTGGATTTTCTCATCTTGCAATTGTATGGCAAACAACCAATCAGCCTCGTCGATGATGGTCTTCGAAATTTGCAGGGATGTTGTGTCCATCTCATGTGCATCCTCAAATGGAGCTCGACTTAGCGCGTCAGCATGATTCATCTGTGTTCCAGCTCGATGAACAATGTCCATGTCAAATTATTGTATACGTAGCCACCATCTTGCAATTCGGGGTATAAGCTCTCGTTTCTCCATTGATGTTTTCAGGGCATTACAATCGGTAACGACTTTAATACGCTTACCATATATGTAATATTTAAATCGCTCCAACGACTCGACGACGGCTAGAGCTTCTAGTTCGTAACTGTGGTAGTTCTTCTCTGGTTTGGACGTTGCTCGGCTATAGTAAGCAATTGGCTTCATCTGATCCTCATCCTTCTGCAGCAATACTCCGGCTAAGCCAACGGCACTGGCATCCGTATATAGCTCATGCTCAGCATCGAGTCGGTAACTGGTGACAACGGGCTTCGATATTAGGCGTCTCTTTAACTCGTCAAATGCATCCTGTTGTGGCTGTTCCCACTTGAACGTCTGGTCTTTGCGCAACAGGGCACGCAGGGGATCCGAAATAATGGCATATCCGGCAACAAATTTCCGGAAGTAACCGCTGAGACCCAAAAACTGCCGTACTTCAGTCACATTGCTCGGCGTCGAGAACAATGCAATAGCGTTCGTCTTAACCTCTCCAGGACTGATGCCGTCTGCGTGTATCTGATGACCCAGGAATGTAATTGTTTGCTTGAACAATTCACATTTATCCAGATTTAGCGTTAGTCCGCACTCTTGCAATACTTGGCGGATTCGCTCAAGCTTCTCATACATCTCGTCAAACGTCTGACTACCAATTAAGATGTCGTCCATGTAATGTATCATGTCGCCTTTCTGCACTCGCTTCTGTAATTCTGCCATGAGTCGATTGAATACAGCAGGTGCAGTTTTTAGTCCAAAAGGAAGTCGCTTGAACTCATACAGTCCATCCGTAGTGATGAATGCAGTAAACTTTCTACTTTCCGGTGCTACTTCTATCTGATAATAGCCGCTGTTGAGGTCCAGAGAAGAAAAGTATTTAAATCGCTTCGCCTCCTGCAGACGCTCCTCGATGTTCGGTACAGGAAAATTTTCCTTCTTGATCAGTTTATTGAGACGGCGGTAATCAACACAGAGTCGATCACTACCATTTGGCTTCTTGATGAGCACCACTGGGCTGGCGTACTCTGACGTGGATGGTATGATAATATCCTGCTCCAACAGCTCTTCGACCATTCTGCTTACAATTTCCTTCTTTGGCTCGGATACTCGGTATGGCGCTTGCGAAACCACTTGGCCACTCTCAACGATAATGTTGGCTTGGACGATGTTGGTTTTTCCTATGCCTTGCAGTCCTGTGGAGGAAACATGGTTGAACTTCTCCAGCAAACCGCCCATTTTACTTCTTCCTGCTGGTTCTGTAGATTGACAAGAAGTTTTGTAGTTAGGTTGTCGCTTACAAACGCTACCGTTTGATGAACTGCACGTTTCACTTCGGTGTCGCCTGACTCAAACTTCAGCGATAGCTGACCGCTAATGATGACGTCTTGTCCTAACAGAAAGTCCTCTTGCAGCAGGTCGTCGTCTGCTACGTATACTTTGGCCGTAATCATTTTTCCATCGATGTCCATATCCACAACCATTGCTTCAGTCAGGATACAGGAACCCCCACAAATGCCTCGAATCTTCATAGAGCACTTGTGGCGATCAGCGTTGATTTGTTTGGCAACTGATTGGCGCATGATACTAGCCTGACTTCCAGTATCAATGAAGGCGCTATAGATGTACGACTTTATGTAGATTTTCCTGGTGAATAGCTTGTCGAGATTCGCGGCACCCAAACGCATCATATCTGCCGGTTGGCATTTCTCATTGCGTGCATGAAACTTATTGCAGTTCTTGTTGGCATGAACTAGCGAAGTGTCCCAATTCTCCACAATTGTAGCACTTCTGAGCCTCCTTTGGCTTTTTTGGCTTTACGTCGTAATCCTGCTCTGTCTCAAAGTTGCTGCCTTTTGGTACGAACTCCTTTTTGTTTGCGATTGGTCGACCTCTATTTACAAAATACGATTCGGCTGCATCACGAAACTGCTTCATTGACGAAAACTGAATTGCGGCAATACTATTTTGCAATTCTCGATGCTGTATACCTGATCTAACATATCCTATAACAGCTGCTTCACTAAGCTTGTACCGCACGCCAAGGGCGGACATCCGGAAACAGTACTCCTTTACTGTCTCCTTTGATCGTCTGGTTGCATTGGCCATATTGAAGTGAACTTCTGCCTCAACTGGGTTAGATCCAAACTCGTCTCTTATAGCTGCAGCGAAGTCACTCCATGTGGTGTGTAGAACCGGCGACGAGTCGAGCCACATCTTAGCGGGAGCCTTAGGTTAGGTTAGGTTTATAGGGCTGCTCGACTGAAGTCGAGGTCACTCGGAGGCAAGTCTGCCCATTGTGATGCCCACACTCGTCACGGGATATTGTCCGGTGCCTAGGGAGGTTTCGCGAACCATCCCGAGGCCTCTATAAAGAGCACCAGTTTCTCTAGAGGCATGTTTGCCAGGCTGTCCAGATCTTCGTAGAAGGCGCCACCGAGTATTCGGTGACGTCTCCCCATGAGTGCAGGACAGTTGCAGAGAAGGTGCTGGATGCTCTCTATTTCCTCCTCGTCCCCGCAGCTGCGGCAGAAGTCATGGTGGGGCAGTCTGTACCTTGTGGCCATGCGGCCGATGACACAGTGCCCCGTTATAACTCCCGTCAGTGTTCGCACCCGACTCTTCCTGAAGCTTAGGAGAGTCTTGGTGCGTTTAAGGTCGTAGTGGGGCCAGAGCGAGCGGGAGATCTCACAGTTTGGTGTGGTGTTCCACCTCCTGTCCGATC